TTCCACTTAATTCTTTTCTTTCTATTCTGACAGACCACTGTCTACTGTCTATCTATCAATCTTCTAGAATTGTTCTCTATGATGTATTAGACTGTGGTTGTCCAACTTTCTGGCTTGTCTGGGCTGCACTGAGTGAAGAGGAATTGTCTTGGCCTCAAGAAAGTTGCTTGGAAAGTAATGCCTACTGTGTATTCCCATAGAAGCTACAACAGATACAAAGGGCACAATAGCACGGTTTGATTGAGCAAATTCTCACCTTTGCTTCATCCACACTTTCCTATCCTCATTGGTCACATCCCTGCTACATCCAATAAAGGATGGAGAGTCTTCTTTGCCCTCCTCTTACTGTTAATATACTTGTAAAAAAAAAAAAATAAATAAAATTGTTCCCTTTTATTATAGTGGTCAGGTTGAATCTAAGCTGGGCTTCTGCCTAATTTTCTCCCTACTTATCCTTGCCATTTCTTTGTAGTCTCCCTGAGCTGCCTGTTCTTTCTTCTACAGGAGGGAGACTCTGCTTCTCCTGGACCCTCAGGAAAAGTTCCCTGTTCATCCATATCAGCCTTCTTCCCCTCTAGCTCACCCTGTGGCACAGGGGAATAGCCTGCTACTGCCCTTTAAGACTTCCTTCTTCAGGAGCATCTAGCCTTCCCAGGCCCCTCCAGGATTGAATCCCAAGGGACCCTCCCTACCAGCACCCTGAAGTTCTAAGTTCTCCCCCCAGAAGAAGCTTTGCTGCCCCCCACCTACCTTCACCAGAAAATCAAGGACTCTCTACCATTTTGTGGTCACTCTGCCCAACACAGCTCCCAACCTTCATGTCTCCCACTACTCCTTCCCTGTTTGTGAGCAGCAGCTTTAGCAGGGCACCTCCTCTGGTAGACCCTTACAGCTGCAACAAGAACTTATCTTCCACATTCTAAAAAAAACCTCCCACACTGCTTCTTCTGTGCTGTAATGTACTTCCAATATATATCAGGGAAGTTGAATATCCCCTTGAAAACAAGGGCTGGCAATTGCACAACTTCTGCCAGATGTTGTAGAAAGGCTCATCTGTCTCTTCATTCTGGTTAGGCAGTCTATAACAGACGCCCCACCAGAACATCTGCCTTGCTGACCCTCCCCCTCATCCTTATCCATACTCAACCTACCCAGCCCCAAGCTTTGAACACAGAGAGTCACACCACCTCCCCTTCTTTCTTGCCTACCCCTTCTGAAGAGCTTATAGCCTTCCACTGCAGCACTCCAGCCACTGGAGCAATCTCACCATGTTTCAGATTTGCCCGCTGAACAGTGGCTTCAAGCTTCTCCTGTTTGTTCCCATGCTGAATGCACTGGTGGTTTCAGCTGAGCCCCTGCCTCGCTCCCAGTGCTGTCATAGTTACCCTAGGGTCATCTCTAATTAGCCTAGTTTTAATCCCTTCCCCCTTCACATCCTGTTTAAAAAGACTCAGCAGTGAGCTCTGCCAGCTCCTGGAGTAGGATCCTTTTTCCCCTTTGAGAAAGGTGAGACCAATCCACAGCAATCAGGTCAGGTGAGGAGTGAACCACGCCATGGTGAAAAAAAGAGCAAAATTCCTGCAACCACACTAGCCTTTCAGCCACATATTAATGAGATGGTTTTTCCTGGTCCTCTCGCTGCCAATGAAGGGATAGAGGAAAACACCATCTCTGCTCCATCTCCAATGCCCTTAAGTCCCTTTTGATAGCTGTCAGGATTCTCTTAGCAGCTTCATCACTGTCAGCCTGAAAAGGGCTGTCAGTAAGGGACAATAATCAGAGGGGTGAACCAGACTAGGGAGTCTCCTAATAATGTCCCTGCCCCAGGGAGAAAGCACACTTCTGTATGTCTTCTGGTTGACACAGAGAGGCCCTCTGTTCCTCTATGAAGGGAGTTAGTTGCTAGGATAATTACCCTTCTTTCCTTTTTGGCAGAGGCAGTTTTAAGCCATGCAGAAAACCACCTTACCCTAGACAATCTTTCAGGTGGACCTCCCACTGCATCCTTCTCATCTCTCCCTCAAGTTCCAGAGCCTCAAACATATTTACATAGGGGTAGCCAGAGAATCAAAGTAGGTAGCGACAGCTTGTCTGCATCACCACCTGTTTCCACTCCTCCTTATTTCTTAGGTCCCATTTCATTGCCCAGCGGTGGCAGGACATGAGATTCACCATTGTTTGGGGGTTATTACTCCAGTGGCCTTCTCTCAGGTATGACTGGGAGTTACTCCAGCTTGCACTCCGTGATGCTTCTTAACCTCCTCAACTCCTCCATGCACTCTGACACGCACTGAGCAGATCATCCATCTGTTCACACTTCATGCAAGTGGTATCCCTGCCATACTTCACTGGTAGCAACAGGATCAGGCAGCCCCTACAGCCAGACACCTTAACAGCCACATTTTTGAGAAGGCCCAAAAATACATGGATCAGGAACTGTTCTCCTCAACAACGTATCTTCTATATCTTCCCCAGACTTTTAAAAGTCTACTCCAAATGCATTACACCAGGTATAGTAGACAGCTGTCATAAAAGCTCAAACTTGTTTAGCTGGTGACAGCTTCCTTCTCCATTCACTTGTGCCACTCTTGAGTTTTCTAAAGGCAAAGAGCAGGCTGTACAAGTTTTTTCTAGCTATGTGTTACTCCTTGCCCCCAAAGAAGATTCACTTTACAAGCACAAGTCAGTCAGTTTGATCTCAGATGGAAATATGCTGGGTAAGTAATACCATCACTACTGTGATTATCCCTTACCAGAAGATACCTGGCCTACCCAGGCAGCAGTAAGTTCCATTCCATACAAGTGATACCAGATCTACTTGTAAAACTCTATCACATTAGAATAATTGAGTAACTTGAGATGGAAGGAACCCATAAGGATCAGTGAGTTCAACTTCTGGCTCCACAGAGGACCACCCAAAAATCAGACCAAACGTTTGAGAGCTCTGTCCAGGCACTTTTAAACAGTGGCAAGCTTGGTGCCATAACCATCTCCCTGGGGAGGCTGTTCCAGTGTCTGACCACATTATTGGTGAAGAACCTTCCTCTGATATCCATCCAGAACCTGCCCTGTTGCAGCTTCATACTGTTAATATACTAATTTTACTGTGCACTGTAGTTTCTTTTCAATAAGAAATGAACATATTACTTTCCACTCTTCTTTAAATTTAGTCTCTGCTTCTTTATCAAATCTGTTTCCCCTCTGGATCCCCTCCATCTCTTCATCTCACAAGCAACATCAGCTAAGATACCACCTTGGTTTCCCACTAGCTTTCAGTCTTTTGATTATCTACAACTGAATCATTACCATTCCTTTACCTGAATGCTGCACCATCCAACTCAAATGTTTAACTGCTACTACACTATTTCAGAAAACCATCTATATTAAGTTTTTTATTTTTATACAAGTCTCCTTATGTTGTACAAAATGTTTATTAAGAAAAAAATATACCGTGGAAGTCTAACAGAACAATCACTTTCCACCAGACAGAATAAACATAACTTCACAAACTGCTTCCTTGTAACGGTATGTCAACTATTCCACCTTTCTAAGCAGTAAAAGCTTCCCACTGACAGCTTAACTTTAAATCTGTATGAAATTTTTTTTAAAAAGAGGTCTGCTTGAAAGCTACGTACACCGATAATACCAGACTGCTGTAACTGCCTAAACTCTCTAGAACATGATAAAGTCATTGATGGCAGTAATGCCCCTTCAAGTATGAAGAATACAGTTTTAAGTACAGAACTTCTGTTGAGCCTCAGACTTAAGTGTTAGTACAAAAGACACACAAATGTTGTTCCGAAAACAACATTTTAATTTCTTGTTACTTGTTTTCCATACTTCTTATAGACCACTTAGCTTTTATCGGTGGTTGCTGCAAGCTCTCTGTCAAGATACAGGTCTCACTAAATTCACAAGTAAAACCACGTTGCTAGTCATGAATGGGCTGAGTTTTTGTACTGTTCTCTAACAAATGTTAAAATGAAAGTTTCAGGACAAAACTCAACCCCTCAGAGTAATTAGCAGCACTAAGAATTACTTGCTCCTAAGCTGTTCTCTGTGAATGCCTCAGCCATCCTTTTTCAGACTGACAGGTATAGCTTAACAGAAGAGAAGTATATACTGACTTCTTACGAAATTACTTCTGTCAGGAAGGAATTCCAGATCACTGCTGATCTGGAACAGAGAATAAAGCACAGATGTCCTACAACTACAGCCAGAACTCAGATTTAGATATCAAGTATTCTGATGTTTTTAAGGAGACTATTATTAGAACTGTGTTCTTCTCTCCTCTAGAGAAGATCTAACCAAACTATGGAGTTTTGAAACACAATTTATAGTGTCTCATTCTGCTTCTGTTCATCCTCCACTCCAAAGTTACTTCCTGCTTGAAGTGTATCGGGAACAATTTATGGAATACTCTTTCAAAAAAATCCTGCTTGAGTCCTGACTGAGTACTACTATCAGGAAACATGCAGAGTGTCTACTTGAACCTGATCTGCCAAAAGAATTAGACAAATTACAGCACATTAATTGCTGTGCACTATTTCCCTATTTCCCTAGTCACATATACACTGTGTATGTATAAACACACTTACTCTTTGTAACATTAAAGTGAGATTACGATACGTTTACAAGACAGGACAGAACTCCCTGAGCAGCTGAAGCATTATTTACAGTATGACTTACCTCACAATATTCTATCTATCCTCTGAAATTTCAGATGCAATCAGTCATCTCTCCCCATCATTTGTTGTTAAGCAAACACATTGAGATGAGACTTGAATACAGACTCTGCAGCAGCCAACACCAACACCAAGAAGCAGAAATAAACCTACTCAACATCAGACCGTAGATGCAAAATTTAAAAACAAGCGATCCTTCTATTTTTCAAACGTAAGAAGCATGAATGCAGTAACTAGTATTTAGTGGTTAGAAAAAGGGTTAAAATAAGACCCAGCACTTACTGAGTCAAAGAAAGACTAAGATAACATCGGTACCTCCTATTTTCAGCCAAACTTGCCCCCTCATCCTTCAGCTGTTTGCTCTTCTTTACGCAGCCTTCGAGGAGAACTTCCTTCCTTCTCTTCGCGGCGTGCACCCAGTCCTCATCCTCATCATCACCCGGACCCTTCTCATCCGCAGCCTCTGCTTCAAACTGCTGGGAAGTGGCCCTGGAGACCTTCTCGCCGATCTTTCTCTTCCAGCCAAAAGATGCCATCGGCAGAACTAGAGAAAAACAGATTTCAGCGATTAGGTGAGCTAGGTTTAAGGCGTGCAGCTCGCTCATCTCGACCTTCAGAGCAGTAACACGAAGCAGAACGCCCTTCATCCCTACAGATCCCGCCCAGCAGCTCCACGCCAGGCGCTAGCGAGGCGCTCTGCACCAAGGACAGGCGACAGCAGCAAGCGAGGCACGCCCCAGGCCCAGCCGCTACGCCGAGCTCCCCGCGGAGCCGCCGGCGCACGGCCCGGACACCGCCAAGAGCGCCGCCCGCCGCGCGGCACAGAGGCCCGACCGCAGCCACAGCCCGCTACCTGCGGCCCGCGCCGCCTCCCAGCCCGATACACCTCTGACCCGCCGGGAAGCGGAAGGGCGGAGCGGCAGCGGCTCAGCCGCGGGCGGAGGGCGACGGGGAGACGAGTGCGCGTCCTGCCGCGGGGCGGGGCGGAGCCGCGGCGGCGGGTGCCGTGCGCCCGGCCACCGAGCGGCCCGGAGTGACGGCACCGCCGCCGTCCGTTCAGCGGCGGGGCGGTTCGGGGCGCTCGGAATAGCGCTCGTGGGTCACGCCAGCCCGCGGCCGGGCAGAACGCTGGCGGTGCGTCGCAGCTGCTATGGCGCTGCCACTTCAGCAACCCTCGGTCACCGTCCCGTCCCCTCCCCGCCATCGAGTGCGGCAGCCCCTCTACAGTGACAGAACAGCACGAGAAGCGCATGCCTCCAAACGGGAGGGTTAAGTACTTTGTTTTTACTTGAAGCTTCTGAAAGCTTAAAAAGTCAGCACAGTTATAAACAAGCATTTTTGCATTCATTACTTTGTCAGGAAAAAAAAAAAAAAACAACAACATAGGAAGTAGGCACATCTTTATTAAAGATCAGGACTCCATATCTTACAATGGTAATCAACTGGTAAAATAACACTTCCAATTTTGTAGTTAACACTCATAGCAAGACAAGTGTGAAATTTTCTTTGTTGCTTTTAGCATTGCGCATCCAATTTATATATATATTTTTTCAATTCATTACCTACTGAGCTCAGAGATAACCAGGTTTATCCATGCTTCCATAAAGTTAGAATGCACAGGAAAAATAATTCAGCACACTCCCAGCTGAATAGGCTTTGGATTACGTACTAACATACTTGAGCAATCTGTATATTTGCATCAATTACATCCTTACACTCCTGGCATTTTTCTCAGTGAAGTTCAGTCTCAACCTGATGGGATGATAAAAAAAGGTCTTTCAAGCTCAGTAGGAACATCTGAAGAAAGCAGTCTCAAAATAAAGATCTACAAAGCCTAAGAAAGTGACGCAACAAACAATTGCACTGGATTCAAATAGGTTGTCAGTCCCGTCCTCCCTCCCCAAATCTGTATTAAAAAACAAACACCTCTGTTCTATCACAAAACCTTTGGCCATCAAAACTGTTGCATCATACCAACAAAATTCACCTCATTCAGACAAGACAAATGAAAAACCATGGCTGCCTTAAAGAACAGAAGGGCCAAAAAAAAGTGTATAAAAATTAAAAGCTGTTTGCACCTTTACATCTTGCATTGGTGATCAGCATTACAGATTCACAAACCAGGAGCAGACACCATTTGTAAATAGTTAAACATATGCAGGAGACAGTTTCAGTGATCCCAAACCAATTCCAGATGAGGAATTACTGCAATAAAAATAATCTGTGCGTTTGTTATACTTGTACAAGTGCAATGTTTAAGTTTCAAAATAAAAGGATAACAAAATGAACACACCTATTTATTCAGAACATCAGAACCTTTCCCTACACAACTGAAGAAAGGACTTAAAAGTATGATTGATAGCTGGTCCCACATACTGTCATCTCAATCTCAATAGTTTAAATGCAAAGTTTTATTGAAGAGAATCCTTCCACTCTGAGCTACAGTAATATAACCTTGCATTACAGGAATCATGTGAGACACTAAGGACAAAAACTGAAGTTGTACCTACATTCAAGACAGACCACACAATTGCCCAGTTGAGAAGAGCTACAGTAGTTCTGAGAATTAAGTAGATGTAAATTTCTTCAAATTTCTAACAGGAATTTCTGGACTGAAGCCAATTTGACTGCATTAGACAGTTCTTGTCATCTACAGTTAGCAAGTTGTCAAGGATGGAATCTTGGACGACTCAATGGCAAGAAGTCCCATCCATTTCTAACAAAGACCAGATTTCACTGTTTATATTAATGCCTTGATTTCCAGTTTCTAAATTGGAGAGCAATCTTTCAAATTAAGCCATGAAGTCTATTTTGAAAAGAAAAATCCCCAAATAAGTAATTAAAATGTTTTATGGCAATTTACTGATTAACACTTACATCTATTAAATGCTAAAATTAAGTGCTAAATGAAAATTGAACCGTGGGTATGTACATCCAATTTACAAGATATTTAACGTTTTTGAGCAAAGATATCTGATTTAGCATTTAAGGTCATTTTCTTAAACATTTCTTCTGCAGTTATGGTTTCCACGTTATCCATGACTGCAATCTACATTTCAAAACTTCCTAAATATTAATACTTTAGTTGTCATTTTCAGCTTTTAACATTCAACTGAAAAACTGCACTATTAATTTCCACAATTTAAATGGTAAAATTTGTACAAGGGTAGCCTGGAAAAACTTAACTTATAGATGTATTTGAAATGCAATATGAATTCTATACAGCATATAGTAAGTTAACATGTGATGTAAGCAGACATATCTAAGTAACTTTTTTTTTTAAAAAAAAAAAGGTATGTCAATTTCAGACTGCGGAATAACATGCAACAACCCCTAGGCTGTGCTCTTAACTACATGCATATACTTCTAAGGATTCTCAGCCTGCAGTAACTGTGCTGCTACTACACTATGGTATGAGCTAGCAAACCTGCACAGATCAGGAGCTTGCTCACAGTGCTTCAGAGCAGTGATTTGTTTCAGGCCACTGCGTGGCATATCTTCTCAGCATTGTCTCTCTTGGCACTGCTGTGGTTTCAGCTGTTCTACTTACACCCCAGAGAATTTTATTCATAACTGTGCTGCAGAGCACTTAAATGTACTGAAAATTCCAACTGGTTGGATTTGCCAACATCTAATCAAATTTATCAATTATTGAATTTCATATTGTAGCACATCAAACTTTGTTTAAAATCTCATATACTGCTGAATAAAGGGGGAAGGAACAGCAGTTTTAATGCTTTACTGTTAGAAGACATTAACTGTTCTGATCAACTGAGGCACAAATGTAGACAGTGACCAACAAGTCAAACTTAGGTCATTGAACTTCTAAGTGCACATTTTCTTACAGTGCTCCAGATATATGCATCACCAACAAGACAGATAAAAAGGACTGTGTAATGTAAATGTTATATAAATACTAATGTGCACTCACTGAAAATGTTACAAGCACTGCCCAAGGGGCATGTGACTTCCTGTACCTGTGTGAAGTTACTGAATAGCAGAAAATCAGAATTCACTCCAGCTTCAAAGCAGTATACCTAACTGCTCATAATTACTTCAGTCCCCAGGTAAATTGCATTTTGCAGGTATGTTTTTTTCAGCGCCTTTGTTAATTTAAATTGATTACAACTGGAAGCATCTGACTAAGATTTATGCATGCTTATTGCTGTAAAAGAAATAAGCGCACCTTCAAAGTTATTGTGCAAGTATTTTAATAAGATTTGCACACATCTCAAAAAATTCTATTGTATGACTGCCTGGTCTTGGAGTTAAGTCAGCTGTCGAAGAATCAAGTGAAGAGGTCATTGATGAGGTAAGGGATGTATCTGCAGATTTTCCTTGTGCATCACCATCTGAATCTTTCTGAGAAGATCTGTAGTTGCTCACAGAACCAGATCTCTGTGGAGTTGCAGTCCCAGACTTCGTTTCAATAATTTCATCTGAAAAGGGCAGTAGAGAGTAAAAAATTAGTCATTCACATCAAAACAGCCAGAAAAACAGCAAAACAGCTTCCCCTTCTCAGACTTAACCTTATTTTTAAAATCTTCATTAATATATAAACAGCTCTTGTGAAATATATATAGTTACTAAAAATAAAAGGTTATACAAGAGTAACAGAAGCAATCATCCTTATGCAAATGAACTGTGCTTCAGGACTATCTGATCAACATTAGACCAGCAGCCATCATATTTTTCATTCAGTAAATAATTTCAGTGGCTAACAGTTCAATTGATTTACTTGAATTATCTTTAAAGTTAACTTTATATAGTTATCTTGTTTAAGCCAAATAGCAGTTCAAACATTTTGTAGATGCTTTTTGCTAGCATTTACTTCATTTTTATTGTATCTGGTTATTTATGTTTTATTGCTAATATTCTTAAGAGTAATTGATGCATTGATTGCTATTATTTAATTTACTAAAGTGAAAGACAAACTAACGTGTTTCTTTTAGTATTTTGAACGCCCTGGGCTATAGCTATAGCAACTTAAGCTTACCTTCCATATTAGAAAGAAATACTTCCATCTTAGAAGTAAGTTCTGCTGAAGTATCTCTTATCTTACTTTAGAAACTGAACAAGCTTGACTCACATTTGTCACTAAAAAAGTTATTTCCAGGAAAAATTACTGAGTAGGACAGTAGGGACTGTCTTTTCATATCAGTCAAACCTACTTGAAACTACAGTCCCATAAAAGAAATACTGAATAGTTATTTGTGGCAAAAAGGAACATCAAATCAACTTCATGACTGAAAGGACTGTCAACCAAGTCCATGGCTTTAAGCTGTCCTCAGGAGCTGAAAAGCAGGAATGCGACAGGCTGTCCTTTCTAAGCTGAGTGGCTCTAGGCAGTCTCCTCTCCTCCCACTGTGTTGGTATTTTTCTTACATTACAGTTGGTTAGTACAGGAAAGTGATTAGTACCTTTTGTCAAGTATCACTGGATCTAAGCAAGAAGTTGTATCATTCTAAGGGACAAAGGAAGAACAGTAGTGCTGAATCATATTAAATTGATCAAAGACTCTACCTAAATCATCACAGAATGGCTTCGGTTGGAAGGGACCTCAAGGATCATGAAGCACCAATCCCCTGCCACAGGCAGGGCCACCAACCTCCACCATCCTCCATCATCCTATACTGCAATCCAGTTGGACTCGAGCAAATCCTTTTTCCCTGCCCTCATGTTTTCCCAGGTATGTTACATAAACCATTGGCTGTAGATAATCTTGCTTTTTTCTACTCTGCCCCTAAAAATGATAGACTGTAGCTCTTTTGTTCATTTTCAGGCAAATACCTAACTTACAGTTGTACTATCACTCTGTAAAGTATGATCTTGCTTAGGTTAAGCTACCAGCTTGGAAGGCACTTCAGTTACTGTATTTACAATTCCTAGCTAAATTATCTGCTACTGCCACCAATGGTGCATTGATTTTATCTTGCAGCTACATGCCCAACAAGCTTCTTACTCCATCCAACATTACACAGTTCAATGGCATAAGCAAACCTTATGGCTAAAAGCAAAAAAAAATTCACGGGTCACGATAAAGATGTTTTAATAAGAGAATTAAAAAAAACAAGGTGATGCAAAGGTGATCGCTCACTACCTCTCACAACATGACTGATGCCCAGCCAGTCTCTGAGCAATGGCTACTTTCCCAAAATCTCCCTTGTCTCAGTTTTTTTGTTGGTTTGTTTGGTTTTGGTTATTTTTTTGGCTAAACATGCTACTGTATGTCATAGAATAACCCTATGGTCTGTATGAATCACCTGTCTAGACTGTCTCCCTTTCCAACTTCTTGTTCACCCTTGGTCTATTCACTGGACATAGCAACATAAGGAGAAAAGGAAAGCCTTGATACTCTGCTAGTACTGCTCGACAATAGCCAAAACACTGGTATTATCAACACTTTTGGTCAAAAATCCAGAACACCATACAAATTGCTACCAAAAAAATACCATCTTAGCCAGACTCAGTACAGTAATGCACAAATCAAGAAAAGACAGTACACCTACACATCAAGTTTTATCTTCACTAGGAAAAGATGTTCACATGCCTACCCCACATCTAAATTAACATTTAAATCTGGCCCTCAGAGGCAGGTTAAATTGATTTAAGTATTGCCTCTTCATAGCACTGTCCCTTTTACTACCATGACACCAGTGCTGGTAGAGACACACAAAGCAGTAACTCAGGAGTTAATATACCTGAAGAGGGTTTTGAGAGACGAACCAGCTAATCATTCGATCACAGGAGCACTAGAGCAGGAAGGAGTAAAGAAACACTACAACTCAGATCTAGCTTTAACTGATAAAGGGCAACAGTTTAATTTACCTACTCACAAGTAAATTAAGACCCAGCATTTAAAACAATTTCCCTTAGTGCTTTATTAACACAAGTCTTTCCATACCATCAATGCTACGGAAGTCCAGTAAATATGTTCTGCTGTCCACCTGATACAGCTGTAAACTCATTTTAGAATATGCACTTGTCACTGGATTCTTCCTTCGAACACGCAAGTAGTATGGATTTACAACCTAGTACAAAAGAGATTTGAGTTAGTTACCAGAACTGCTTGAGATGCAGAGCATACTGTTCTTAATTCAACTCACTAACAGTAAGTGATTTCAGGCTTGCCTCTCAGGGTGTGGGTTTTTTTTTTCCTACTGACAAAAAAAAAAGAAAAAAACATGCACATCCTCAGGGCCCCCGTAAAAAGGCTAGACATGTTAACAAGATTTTTTTCTGTCAGGATAAATAGCCTCTTCCAAAACCATTCTTACACAGACAGCAAATAGTCAGCGCGCACACACACACACACACAGTTGTTTTCCTGCACAGGAATAGCATTAGAAAAATCAGGGAAGAAAACTAATTCCAATCTAAGAAAAAACAGCATTCCTTTTAATTAATGATACGTACCGGGCAACTTGACAAATCAAGCACGCACTCCTGGAGTTCAGGTTCTAAATTTAAGCAGTTAAGACACTCACATGCAATACATTTCCTGGAAACCACATACATATTCATTATTATCCAAGCATTCATTAACATATGTCAATGTCCCTTCGGGCGTGCACAATGGGAATTTAGGGTGGTCACAGACCACTTCCTTCAACCTCATTTTTCCATCTTCAACTTCCTCCTGATATCCCTTGGCTGATCTTTAGCTGTTTTCCCCCAATTTGGCAAATTTTCATTGCTTGTCATGTTGTAATGAGTGACTGTCTATCTTGGTACCCTATAACTCAAAACAATTTATACGAAACCCAAGAAAAAGTCCTCACACCTGGTGGATGCAAAGACAAAAGTAGTCTATTGTGACTTTAGTGCTTCAGTGAACAAGGATTATTCAGAAAAACATGACTGTTCACATATTAAGCAAATCTAAACTGGAAAATTTTAGAACTAGCACACATTAATTTCTTTTTGTTAAACTAATATATTGGTCCTTAAACTAATGCATTTCTCACTATTGCTGAACCAGTCTATATCTAGAAGATGCAGGTTTTTAGACTTCTAGGCTATATAACAACAGCTCAAAATCTACTGTTGTTGTAGTAAATAAATTATATTCTTTTACCTTCCATTCATAATCCAGCTGCTTAATTGCTCGACAGACTTCAGCCATTATATCATTTGGTCGACTCTGACTCCGTATCCCCAAGTGCCACTTCGCTCTTCTTACACCTTGGTGTTTTGATTTCTGTGGATTCAGCTCATCAAGAGTATGGCGAGGCCGTGGTGCTTCAGCTACTAAGAATGGCACTCTCTCTGGATGAGGCCGAGACAGATGGTGATCATCAAGAAAAGAATCTGGCGGGCTTGTAGCTAGGTAGAAGTCTTTGGCCTCATTCATTATTCTTCTATTATCTATAATGAGGTGATAAGCAACTGCTAAAGGATCTTGATGATTTCGGCTATACAGACAGCTTAGCACTTCCTCTTCAGTACATTCAAACTTCTCACATACTTCTTTTAAGGCTTCATCGTCAATCATGGTTGAGCTATATGAAGGGTCTTCGGGAAACAAGTATTTGGGAAGGTCCTGCTTAAACCATTCGTGTTCTCTAGATTTAAAAATAAACAAAGTCTAAGTCTGTATGTACAGCAAGCCTTCTTAGCAATACATTATTTTTAAAATTGTATTTCATATGTACACAAAGAAACACAACTGTCTGCCCAAGTGTTCCTTCTCTGTGCTTCCAACAAAGCAATCTGCACGCACACTAAAGCAACTGAAAAACTCTGTAAAATAAAAAGCAAGCATTAATGGCTTCACAACATTTTGGTAGACATTCAGCTCTAAAAAAACTAAAAAACCCACACTTTCTTTCCTAGAAATGTTGCAACTACCTGAGCTTCGAAAACTCATTATTGTAACTCATCAGCTTGCTGTATAAATGAATGGCTGTTGTTGTTTTTTTTTCCCTACTTCCAGTATCTTAGATTTAAGAATATTTCAGCTGAAATTCTAATGCTGTCCTTCTAAAATTCTTAGGCTATCCCATCAAGATATCCCTCATACATACCTAATACAGTTAAGAAGTCTTGATGGGTAATAATTTCTTTGACAGATATTCAAATGAGCATTTTTGAATAAAATCAATTGTGCTTCCCTTACAAATCATAGAAGGGGGGAAAAGACCTCTGCAATCATCTAGCCTAACCTTCCACCTAGCACCAATATTGCCACTAGACCGTGTAGCTGTCAATTTTTTTTCCCCCCATTCAAAACCCAGCTTGTCTCCAAGACATACAAAATTGAAGGGAGGATATGGAAAATATCTCTAGTGCTGTATTTATAGGATAGTTTTCATAGAAGAAGAAAAGCCAACATACAGATACTTATTTTTTTTCTATCATCAAGTAACCTATGTGCCTGGAGTAAGCTGATTAACTAGCCAAACGACATGGCATGACAAGGTGCTGCATACAAGAAAGCTTTCAAAACCAAAGGTCTGCTACAGATTGAAGAGCAGTTGCATTCGTGAAGCTCTAGTTTCAGCACTAATGAGTTAGTAAAATACACTTTCATCAATAATGAACACTTTAGAAGCAGAAAATGCTTTTCCTAAGCCATTACAAAGCACAGACCAAGCTGGGTAAATGTGCCTAGAACATTGTTAGTATTCATTAAAACGAGCCTCTCCTCTTGCACATGCACAGATATGGCCATGAAACAACTAAAGTATTCAGTTAATTAGTTAGGTTGCCCTTTAAACTGATATGATGTTTTATGGCTAAGAACAGAACTGTTAAGGATTCAAAATCCACCCATGTTCTGCAACCAAAGTTTTTTAACATCTTTTCCAATACTTCTTCTAGACTTAAGATGACTTAAATGAACTAAGTTCCTATCCATTCAAGTTGTACAGCTCTTAGTTCTCAGTGCTTTTGTTTTCTGACAGGACCTGCAAAAAATATTCCTTGTTGTAATGAAGTAGTATAGTATATATATGATATGCGCCACATTTTTTTCTTAAGATGAAAAAACATAAACATAGTTTCCTAACTTCTAAGACTAGAAGAAGCAGCATCTTCACTAAGATGCATTTCAGTACACTCTTCTTAGGGCTCCTCACAAAGGAAACAGGAAGACCTAAAGCCGTACTTCTTCCAGCAGCTTAACAAACACCAATTCTTTGTTTTTCCTATTTGCCAAAGCAATCACCCACTGCAAAAATCACAGCCATTGTGGGCTCCAGATTCAAATATATTTGCAGCTTTAGCTCATCAAAATTCTGTGTAGTAATTATCAGTCTTACGCACATTCATGCGAGAATTTTGAAGCCAGAACAAGAAGTGTTATCTTAACATGGAATATTCATCTTAACATCTTTCTCACAGTCTCCAGAAACTGGAATTAAACAGTAGTTATGCTGAATTAAGAGCGGTAATGTTTCCTCAGATATTTAAAGCACAGAACAGTGATTCTTAAGAAGTACTTCGTCCAGAAATCAATAATGCTGAGCAGTTTTGCAAATCATTCTGCAGCAACACAGTCCTAACTCAAGTTTCTCAAAATTCCCATAAAGCATGTTTTACTGTGGCCTCCAATAGATACTTTTTTGTCCAGGAAGATGAGAAACACCAAAGGCCAAATGACCAGAAGCTGATTTTTACCTCTTATACTGTAAAATAAGGATAGGCCATCTGACTAGTTTCTTCATACTGCATATGTGCACTAAGATAATTCTAGCATTGTTTGAACAGACATCAGTTAGTATTTTACCTAATGTCTCGAATTGTTGCTCTCTTCATTGGATCCACTTGCAGCATATGTTTCAGAAGACTAATGACAGATGGATTCAGGTACTGAGGAGTATAAAAGATACCATCGCATATCTTCTTAAAAAGTGTTGGCACGTGATCATCATCAAATGGAAGTGTTCCACATAACAATGCATAGAGAATAACCCCACTGCTCCAAATATCTACTTCAGGACCTGCATATAACCTGGGAAAAGGTTAACTATTAGTGACTTCTGTTTAATACTTTAAAAAAAACACTTAAAACACACCATGCTTTCTTACAATAATCGCGCACACACTTAGGGACAACTAATCTGCAAGTACTACAACATTCTGGTTTACATGCCACACCTCTCCCCTTTTTCAAATACATACAGAAAGCTAGGAAGGAAATATGTAGTTTTCCCCTTTATTATGTATAAATACTCCACAAATACAATTTAAGACAATGGCCAACTGAAAAAAAAGTTGTCTCTAATACCAAGAAGCCTGTGTTATATGTTGCACAGATTCCACTAAAACAATGTTAACAAGGCCATCCATCTATTCTCCAAATCTGAGATGCTGAAAAAATTCAAGTGAAGACCATTTACCTAGACTTACCACATCTATGCTACTGCCCAGATAAAAAAAAAGACATTTGGCCTACCGTCAACAACAGATGATATTAGGGTAGCTGTAAACAATAGACTTGACAATGACAGTCCAAAAAAAGTGGAAGTTACGTTCAGGCTGAATATCCATTCTGCAGCGGATATTTCATGGCCACTCAACTTCGCAGAAGACGTCGTCTCTAATTCTATCCATACCTCTACTTCCTATATGAGGCACATCGCACATACTAGATTTGGGGCATTAGACATCACCTCCAATTTACAGGAGCTATTCAAAACTAGTTCAGAGAAGCCTTATACATTTATGAAAAATTATTAAGGCAATTAACAGCTCAGCACAGTTTCTTCACATCAAGCTGATAAAGAACTATGTAGCCTTTAGAATAAAGCAGTAAAGTAACTGAAGTACATGCACACATATATCCAATAAAAAAAAAAAACAAAAAACCTACCTTCCTGAAATTACTTCTGGTGCAGCATAGTTAGGGGAACCACAGCTCGTTCTTAAAAATTCTCCATCAGACATCATATTTGATAGACCTGAAAGTACATAAGAATAATTACTAAAAATTCAGAGAACAAAATGGTTTCACACTGTATATACCATCTAGAACAAATCACTAGTAATTTGACAGAAGTTAACATTTTATCTCAGCTAGTACGCACACTTCTATGGAATCACTAAAGTTTTCACGCATGAGAATACCATATAATCCTTTACCCCATATCCTGTTTAGTTTATCAGAAAATACCAGACAAAAGTTACCACTTCTGGAATAGCTGTGGAGAATATTTTCCCGTTTCCTCAATGGAAGCCTCAACATTAAGATTACTGCAGTCCTGAGAGCTCAATTCAAAGAGGAGGCATTAAGCCCTTTTCCCAGGGAAGGGCCAGGAGATGGAAGTACAGAGCTTGACCAACTCTGACACTGCCACATATGAAGCTATATGAGAGTATTAAGCTCTCATTTAATAAGCTAGTCATGATTTACTGAGTGCTGTGCTTTTGCAGATACTTCTGTCATGGAAAGAGTTTTTACTGTTTTTGGTTTTTAAGTTGCTGTGTTTTATTTTTTCTTCAAATAAGTAACTGCATCACAAACAATTCCTATGCAAGAACTTACTACGATACACAAGAACACTTCAAAGAGCAGATATTATGTACTACTTCTAACAGAAGATATATTGTGATGGCAGCTGTATAGATACCTTACTATTTTCATACAGTCAGGTTTCTTCATTCAGATGATAATTCAGAACTATCAATCAGTTTGTATGAGCTGTTTGTGACAGACTATCAGATTCTCTGACTAGTTAGGCACCCATGTAGCAAAGAGCTAAGGTGTTTGTAAAAAATCAACTATTTTACTTTTTATACTAACTGCATTTTTCTTCCCCAATCACATATTTGGAATTTACATTTTACTGAACAATATGCTTTTTAATTATAAAGAACTGTCCTTGCACTGTAATTCCAAGAGTGTTAAATATATGTTTTTTACAGATAGAAGAACAAGGAATAGAAAGTTAGTTTGCAAGTGATAAGGTGGGGAACTAAGTCTCATTTCAGAGAATTATTATTAAGCACAGCTTAAGATAGCTCTTGGTTTTGCTCAGTAACAAAACTGACTTGAAAAAGAAGAAAGCACAAGGGAAAGCAAATTCCACGGTTGTCCAAGAACAGTATTTTCTCTTGCACTCATGCTTTTTACAAATTTTATCTCACCATACAGGACACTCAGCTAACCAAATATTAAGTATATTCCACAGCAATTAAACCCAAATAACACAAAAAAAATGTTTCTAGGGTAATATTAATGCTTACCAAAGTCAGCTATCTTGGCATTCATGTGTGCATCGAGCAACACATTTTCGGGCTTTAAATCTCTGTGAACTACCATGTGCCTGTGACAGTAATCCACTCCAGAAAGGATCTGTTGGAACAGACGTCTACTTTCCTTCTCATCAAGCTAAAACAAGAATTTTAAACAATTCTGAGACAGTGGAATATGACTTTTTCATTTATATTAATTACAGAAAATTTTCCAATGACCTAAAGCTATCATTTATAGTTTTGATACTTTACACGGCACATCTTTGTGGCAGAAAATTTCACATCTTACATCATTTTGCTTCTGCCACAGCTCTGAAATGAGTAAGATAAAACAAGATCCACCTAGTCAAGAGTCACTGACATTTGTCAAACATTCTTTGGAAACTGGTTAGGTAAATTAGGAACATTATCACCCAAACTTTTATACTGTCTAACTGGAATACCAAGGTACTTCAGTATGTAAGTACACAATAAGATTTAAATAAGACAAAAGATGCTGACAGAGGCAGTAAATTTTTATATAAAATGTGCTCCTACTGGCAGCTTTGCTCAAATAGCAGACTTAGTTGGACATTCCCATGGAGCATGCCCTACACACTATGTCAGCCACTAATGCTTTTAGTTATTTGTTAGACTAAGCTTTCTAGTTTGCCATAGGGGACATTAGAGAATTAACAGAACCCTGTAAAAGAGGGCAATAAGGGCAGTATAACAGCTTCCCAATAATGGAAATAATGCTTTACAAAGTGGAAAAAAAATAGCATGACAGATACATGTGAAGATCATGTTAACATGTTCTGAAAAATACACATTTACAAAGATGAAACCATAAAATATCTTTACTTTTAACTGCTAGCAGCAAAAATAATGCTGATACATAAAAACAAACCATTTAATAGGAATGTTGCAAAAGCAATAACAATGCTGTAGAGTTGAACTACTTCTTACCCTTCCATTTTTACAAATATAATCAAACAGTTCTCCTCCTGAAACGTATTCCATCACCATGAAAATGTCAGTTGGGGTACTGATGACCTGGTACCTGATACAGAAAGGTATCTATTAGTTTAAGTATTCAGTATTAGAGATTAGTTATATGGTTAAACACTTTAAAATATATTTCTGTGTAACTCTTCCCACAGTACTGGTTTTATCAGTCAATTTACAATCACTGCAATAACACTTTCTTATCAGCTGTTTTCTCACTTTTTACTTAGGGATGCTGCTGCTGTAAAGACTAGCACAAAATTTATATTTCCCCACCAAGAAATTTTGAAGCCATAGCCAAGTCTCACTACTAAGGAAATGATATTTTAATACTTTTAGTAAGAAATTACTAACTTCTAACATTACCTTTCGTGATTTTCCCTATAGTTATGAGAACAATAAGCTGTATACTTCAGGCAATCATGAACAACAGTTCATAGTTGAAATTACCACAGTGATTTCCACTTTTTGGGTAGAGAGACTGTGAAAAATGCTGGAAGATAAACCTCTCATGATCTCTGAAAATAAGCCAGTCCACATCTCTTGGAAGATGCAACCATACTTCTCTTCAGTCAGTTCATTTTTCTAGTTACAGAAAAGGCAACTGCAGAACACAACAGTTACATACCAGTAACATAAGCAAGGTCAAACTCCACAAAGTGGATGACTTAATCAGGAAGAAGAATTTTTACAGAAGAAAACACAACTCATTTTATTGCTAGAGTCTAAAGAACAGGGAGGAGACACTTCCAAGGTTTTTAATTAAAGCACAGTATAGAAATGAGGTCTTGCAAAGATAGATGTAAAGTTATAAATACTGATAAATCGTTTTATAAAGTTTTTAATAAAGTGTTCCAAATTAGAAATTCTCTTATTTATCATTAAACTGAAGAAAACTGTTTACTTTCACCCCACCAGTTCCCCAGTCTAGTTCCTAAGAGCATAAGCAGCATGACCCTAAGTTACCAGCAAGTCAGAACAACAGTATCAGTTATAGCTCAAATGGCATTTTTATACAGAATAACAACCCTTCAGCTTTGGAAATTCAGGTCAAGCAGTTGAAAAGTTGAGCATTCTTAATCTTTTCTGTCATCTCCTACATCTTCACATGCTGAAGAGAAAGAATTTTGCACCACTATTCACTGAATAATTGTTTACTTGAAAACAGTTAAGCTGACTTAAGAGCTACATATTACTATTCTGCCTCATATCTGCCAAAATATTGAAAATTTGTTTTGGCTGCAGTTATGTGTTTTGGACTTGTTCTTGAACTCTTAACCAAAGAAAGTTACTGAGATGATCTGGCAATCTAATTTAGCACCAGTCTGTGTTATTGTTAAATCCAAGGGAAACCTAATCCAAAAAGAATCTATCAGCAGTATCCTGATCCTAATACAAGTCTGACAATAAAAAAAATAAACTGCCATTCTACAATTAAGAGTGAAAATCATCTGCACTCTAGATGTGCCCTACCATAGGCAGACTATATGAAAAGCCAAAAATCTATGGCATTTGTATCTAGTCTTAGAAAATAAATTACAGAGTGTCTAGTCTAGGACATATTTAGCTGTACTCTGAACTCTACTCATGAACTACTGATTGCCTAATAGATAGGAAGGCAACAACCTTTTTGCATACATACAAGTGGTAACAGCTATATCAAAGAATTCTGAAATATCAAATCACACTGCACATCCTTAATTCAGAAAAATTTTGCAGAGGCATCAACATTGGATAAATCGCAGGTAACTGACCATTATGTTGTTAAAAAATACTGAGGGAAAAATGCAGTAAGCTTCCTATAGAAGTACACTTTACAAGCTAGTTCTTAATTTGATTCTAGGCAAAAAAAAAAAATACAATTAGAAAAAGAACATTAAAGCACACTTGCCTGATCCCCAGAGAAGATCAATATTGTGAAAACGCATTACAGGGGATACTGAAAATGGAATACTGTTTCCTAGAAGCTAGTTAGTTTCCTAAGAAGCTACTGCTAATACTGCTGCCCTTTGGACACATTTCAAGTCAGTGAGAGCAAAAGAGATTATTGCTTAAATAGATCTGATTATAGCAAATAGAACTTACAGCTTAATTATATGAGGGTGTCTGAAGAGTTTGAGGTTCTGAATCTCCCTGCGAATTTTTCCTACAACGTCAAGGCTGCGAATCTTCTGTCGATTCAGAATCTTCACTGCAACTTTATGTCCAGTTAACTCATGCTTGCCAACTACAAGGAACAAAAAAGAAATTTAGTGAGATTTTTCAGTTGTTCCATAAAGGACATTCATTAGACCGTTTCAAATACAGCCAAGAAACACTACAATTAAGATACTAAATATTCCACAAATCCCCATTACCTTTAGGGAGGTTGAAGACCACACAGCACATCATTTCTGCTGTACCCCAAATACTTCTCTCAATTCTACTGAGAGAAGACGAATTAGAAATGCTAAGAACAACCTTAAATCTCACACTTGGAACTCTTGCAGCATGACTGAATTTTTGCACAATTGCAAGCAAAACGTTTTTCTATCCCAAAACACTGCCATCCTTGCTAAGGAGGAAGACCATTTCATTTCTCTCTATGAGTCAATCTAAGTTCACTTGATAATCCTCTCAGACATGCTCTCCCTGCAGCTTTTCTACTCAGACAGCAAGCATCGCTGTTACTAAAACAACTGTTTCCTTTCCCTCAAGAACCGTGTTTCAGCAATCAGAATTATTGCTAAGAGTATCCAATCTTCAAATATTTATCTGTCTTTGTAGTAGTTTCACCCTATATGACTTACATAGTAAGCAAGTACATCACACCAGAGTTTCATTCTATAAATGGCAAAACATAGATGAAATGCACAAAATAGAATCCAGTGTTAACTATGACAAGCAGTCTCTTATGTTTCTAAGTTTCTTAGCATTTCTACAAGAATTTTTGTTTCAGAGGAAGTTGGTAGCATAGGACATTAAATTCCTTCAGTTTGCAGGTACTTTTGGAAAAGACCACAACAAAATTACTAAGAAAATGCAGTACCAGATCACAGATACATTACAGAACATAAGCATCTCTTTCACTATAAGACTTGAATGAGTGCCTGCAGAAACTTATGCAGACAACCAACACTGCTAGTATCATAACTACATCAAACTCCTGCCTTCTAAATGCAAACCAGATTCCAAGACTCCTAAATGATTCATTTTTGTCCACCTGACTGACACTGGTACCTCTGCAGAACACAGTGGACTCACTCACATGCACGTACCTCTTCCCTGATGAATTTATCTGAACCCCAAGCTTTATTTAAATACAACCATGGGAAGGCCATGATAAGCAATTCTAATGTTTTTTTAATAACTTCATGCTGGAGAACCAGTTCCTATGTATTATACATCACATATAATATATTTATCTCCAAAGCCTTCAATAATTTTGCATTTGTTATTTTACAGTGCAGCTAGTTGATCTGGAAGCACTTATCTTGCTTTTAGAAAAAGAAAACATTAGTGAAAATGTCAAGTTGAGCACAGAATCAAGGACTAGACCAGTATTCAGATGATAAAGCTATAGGCCAGTGGTATACGGTAGCCCACCTCTTCTCCAAATGCACTGCGGGGAAAACAAAAAACAAGCCTCCTCTGATTCTGAGGAGCCATTGTCTAAAGAGCAACAGAATAACCAGAACACTGTGCAAAAGTGTTCACGCCGCTGAGGAATGCAGGATAGCATATACATTTGAGCAATTACACAGTTTAGCACATATTCAGTTCTGACATACATGGTCTCATCTATCAGAGAATTTGTTTCATTTATGATTTGTCAGTACGACCTAGTTGAAAACAAGCTTTTCTGCCTCTTTAGCACTGTTTGACAACTTCAAATAAATTACTGAAATGAAAACATAGCAGCTTTCCACAAGTACAGAAAGATTCCAAAAGCCTGAGAAGTCTTCAGGAAATGAATGAGTCTCTTCAGTAGTTTTTGCCCCTTTGCCCTTTCTTTCCCTCAAGTTTAAGTTTATATGAAATCTAGCTTTAGGACTGGAGTTTCCAATAATCACCTTCATGAAATAAGAGTGATTCTTGCAAATGTTATCCACAGAGTATACGTGGCATCAGCCAACCACCACAGATCACATACTTTAAATACTAGACAGCACTCAGAAAAAAATCTTTCATTCTTCCCAGACAAAAGTAATCTTCACTTCACTGTCTAATGTAATAGCAAACAAGTGTTTCTACATGCTTTAAAAAACGTCAAGATAAAAAAATCTGTTGTTTTATTTTGCTACTGTAAAGTAGCTTTGCAACATCATTATTTTGAATGCACCTTAGATGAGAACTGGTCTGTAATTCCACAAATAAGCAGTCAGATATCCACATACCATAAAAAATAACTTTAAGATGGAGCAGTATAAAGTTTATTGGAACTGCTGGCTATTTTTGAGCTCAGCGTAAGAATGGAACTGAAAGCAAGACCTCAGATGATAACATCATGTACAGCCCATAGAAAACCAAGAAGCCAGTGTTATCTTTCTGTAAGCTACTCTGTATTACCTCTTAGCATAAGTTTTATCTACCAAAGGGCTGGCTTACAATTTAGAAGTATATTTAGGTTAATCAAGTTAATCATTCTAACACTTCACCAGTCTTAAAAAATAAAAGCATTGCAAAGAAAGATCCCTTTGTATAGCTAATATACCTCACTTTATTCTTTGATAATAGACTGTGGGTTGATAATCATCTAAGCTCAGAAAAACCTTCAAGATCACCAGATCCAACTATCAACATCACCACTCGAGTACCATCACTAAACTATGTTCCTTAGTGGCACATTGACACGTCTCAAATAACTGTAAGGATAGCTACTCCACCTGAGCAGCCCTTTCCAATACTTGCCCATTTTCTAAAGGAAGGAATTCTCCCCGATATCCTATAAAAACCTCCTCAATGCAACCTGATACCATTTTCTCATGTTTTATCACTAAGTTCTATCACAAGTTTCAATATGGCTATGCACAGCAGCAATTTTTCAAAGACACTTAGAGATAGATCCTTAAAGTTGCAATAACATCAACAACAGTTTCAACTGTTTAAGTGCAGAGACATTTGTCTAAATTCAGGTCAGTAGGCCTTCAGCTGGAAAAGAAAAACAACCTCAAGCCACAGGAAATATGATGTTCTTATGAGATTAGGTATGGGTTATAGGCACACTGAGGAGAGTCTCTTTGGATGTCCTCTGCAACAGGAAGGCAGTTGGAGGTAAAAGCAGAAGAAATACAGCTGTGCAATGCACAGGGGCTCTCACTAAAACCTGGGCTTTACTATCACATGTAATTATACAGCCTCAATCTGGCAGGTCTGGCATTTGTTGGGTGGTTCTCACTTGGCCATTCCTGAAGCTGTATAAAATACAGAAGACTTACGAGATCTTTGGCACAGGAGATCACAGAAGGTGAAATTTAGTCACAGGAGCAGACTCTTAGGTTGCCTCATCTGATGGTTGGACTATATTATTTTAGTAGTCATAAAATCATTAAGGTTGTAAAGACCACATGTAATCAAATACAGTGCCAGAAACCAACAATCTAAGCCAAGGCTCAGTAAAGAGTAGCACCCTTTAAAATTAAGATAAATAACGTCGTTACTAACTTGGAAAAAAAAAAAAAACCCAGCAGTTAATGCTGTGCAAAGACAGATTACTTAATAAATACATCAGAGAGCAAACATGCGTTCATTGTTCCCTCTCAAGTTTCAACAAGGCCTGTTTACATTATTTCTGCAGTTTATACAAATTAGTGTTCTTGGCCTAGTTTTAAAAGCTTGGACAAATATTTTGTATTTACAATCACAAACATATCCTCACTCTCACTCTCACAAATCACTAGAAGTCTGACTACTCGTCTCCTTATGAAGTCTAATCATATAGAACACCTAAAATTAAAATTCTGCCTTTGGTTTCAGCAGAAAACATGATCAATTTTTAGAAAAGACAACACTAAAACAGTAATCACAGAGTGGCTTGGGTTAGAAGGGACCCCAAGAATCATCAAGTTCCAACCTTCTTGCCACAGGCAGGGCCACCAACCTCCAGATCTGGTACTAGATCAGGTTGCCCCATCCAACCTGGGCCTGAACACCTTCAGAGACGGAGCATGCACCACCCACCTGGGCAGCCTGCTCCAGCATCTCACCACTCCCTCTGTAAAGAACTTTCTCCTGACATCCAGAATCGCTGAGGTTAGAGTAAGTGTTTCATGTCAAATGCTTGTATAATTTAAGTGAGAATGTACTTCACTCATTTACTTCCAGCATTCTTTTTTGCCTTTCATATCAGTGGTATTTTTACTTAGCTTGGATGTGAAAGGCAAAAAATGCTAGAACCAGTTGTCTTCTCCATGAATGCCCATCTGAGGCACAGTCACATGAACTAAGTAACTAACTCAGGATCATAGAGCCAAATTAAGAGTTAAAGAGGCAGAACATCGCATCAGTAGCAACCATCTGTGATAGTAGAACACCAAGCAAAAAGGTGAATTCATCTGACAGCTAGCTTAACTGTGGGAAACCTTTGATAGTTACTCACAAATCTGTTTTTCCAACTTATTTTTAGGGCTGTCACTGCCATTAAATACCCTCTCCCAAAAAGACTGCTAGCTTAACCCAATTTAACTATGAATAAAACCAGCTCTGTGCCAGCTGAAGCCATGATAAAGCCTGACCCCACATCACACAAACTCAAGGAAAATCCTACCTGAATAAAAACAGGACAAGCTTTTTCTTACAGCATAAGCTCTCATTGCCAAGTGAGGAAACCTTATCAAAGCCACCAAAGGACGCAGAGGAATTAAGGAAGTCTTTAACTCTTTTCCTGGTAGGCATCATATTTGCTGCATGCTATTTACAGCCCTACTTGTGCAAGTCTGAGCTGTAGAGAAACTTCAGTTACCACCAGCCTCAGCATTAACACTTCCCATACATCTGTGCCAGCAGCAGCGCTCGTTACTCAAATAATTTCAGGCTTTTTTTTTTTTTTTAATGCTTTACCCTCTGCAAAGCAAGAAAGCTCGTTATCCTTATAAGGACGTCAAGCATTGGCGGGACAAAATACAATCCCGAAGCCAGCACTGTCTGTACGTCGGCCACCTCCGTTACAGATGCGCTCATACTTGCAGCGCTCCGGGAATGATATCTGCCAACGCGGAAGAGAAATCCCCCACCCGAAGAGCAGCCTCGCCCCACCCCAGTCATGCCTGCTGCCGCCTCCGCGACCCGGCCGCCCCTCGCAGACAGGGCTACCGCCCGCGGCCACACGAGCCAAGACCCAGAGCCCAGCCCTCAGCCCTGCGGCACCCCGTGATGCAGCGGCCGCCCCACAGCCTGACAGAGCGGCCCCCCGGCTGGGGCCCCGGCAGCCCCCGTCCGCCCCCAGCCACGTCCCGGCTGGCAACGGGCCCCAGCCCCGACCCAGAAGGAGAAGACAGCGCAGCGGCTCACCCTTGACTTTGCCGAAGGTTCCGACGCCAAGCGTGTCGCCCAGGATGTAGTGCCCAATCTTCACTCGCCCGTGCTCGTGCTTCTGTTTATCTGCCGCCGCCATCTTGAGCCAAGAGCCGAGTCTGCGCATAGTGCTGGGCCGGGCCCCCGGCGAGGAGCGCCCGCCCGCAGCCGGCCCCCGGAAGTAAGCGCCACATTTCTCCCTTCGCGCCTTCCGCCGGAGAGAACCGTTTCCGGTACGGGGTGGAGGCGGCGTGCGCTGCTACTTCCGGGTTGAGGGCTGGTGTGAACTCGCGTAGTCCTCGACGGCACCATCGTGAGGGGATGTTTTCGCTGAGTACCTGCTCTTAATTCACAAACGGCCCAGCCGTAGCTCAGCAACGGGCGCTTTTGGGCATATAAGATGAAGAAGGCTGGCAGAGCCGTGTTTCTGTTACTGTGTTGTACTCAGCCTGCTCCCTCAGGGAGGAAGCTGAGAAGAGCTAGCCGCCAAACCAGTCCTGCTGCTCCCATGGCAGCAAACGCAGCCATCAGAACAAACAGACCCGTCAAGTCTTTGTATTTCTAATCAATGTCACAGATTAAACCTGTTAGTTCTTCTCACCCATTTCCCTTCACCCGGGCCAACGTGAATAGGACTCTTATGAGATGGAAACAGAACTGCCTCACCCACTCATTTATGAGCAGTGCACTGGTGCTTCTGGCCCTGAGAGTCCACCTGCCTGCTGCTTTGCCTTGATGCACTTCTTACATACCACAAACCAACAGTTATTCTTGCCTGCAAGCACTATTTCCAAATTACATTCCTACCATGTCTTCAGATGGAATTAGAAGAAGAGTGTCAATTGGGTGGTCCATACTGTGGTCCAGAGGAGGGCTACAAAGATGGTGAAGACGCTGAGGGAGTTGGGTTTGTTCAGCCAGGAGGAGCCCTGGGGAGATCTCATTGCAGCCTTGCAGTACTTAAAAGGAGCTTGCAAGCAGAAAGGAGAGCAATTTGTACACAATCTAATAGTGATAGGACAAGGGGAAAGGCTTTAAATGATGGGAAATTTAGGGTTAAATGTTAGGAAGAAACTCTTCAGTGGCAAGGCACTGGCACACATTACCAAAAGAAGTTGTGGATGCCCCATCCCTGGAGGCATTCAAGACCAGGTTGAATGGGACCCTGGGCAGCCTGATATGGTGGGCAGCAACCCTGCTCATGGAAGGGGTTAGAACTAGATAGTCTTTAAGACCTAAGCCATTCTGTGACAACTGGGCAGATATTTGTCCTGGGAAGATCACTGACTCAAGGGGAATGTTACTGCCACAACCCATCCCCCTCCAGACTAAGTGAATGACAGCAAATTAAATGCTTTCTCCTGCCTCACTGAAGCACAGCTACTGAACATGTTCTCAAACAGATGAATGTATTACAGAAGCTGCATAAAAATTTTTCAATGTGTAAACACCACAGGAAGTTAAAAATACATTCTTATAGTTATGGGCTTAAACTTGATTCAGAAAACATTCAGTATTGTGTTACAGCAGTCATGAATTTAACAGAAAATTGGAAAAGAAATTCTGGTCCCTAAAAAGATCTTCATGTTTCACAGCATCCCTCTAAGCTAATGGCTTAAAAAAATCGAAATCCATCTGTTTATATCTACGGCAGATGAAAACAGTAAAATTCAGAGTAATTTAAAAAACAAACAAACAAACAAACAACAAAAAAAAAACCTTTTTCATTTGATGAGACCATGTAATTTGTTCAGGCAATGTCAAACGTAGGCCAGTAAAAAATGTAAGTACTATTGTTAATATGTACCCTGCTAAAATTCACATTTTAAAAAGTAACATTTTACATGGTAAAATACTCAAAACAAGGAAAATAAAACTAATGATTTTTGAGTAATTTAGAATTTAAATTCCAAGCATTTTCACAAGAATTGTATTTAGGCAAAGATAACAAGATGCTTTTAGCCAACACTACATGACAAGTAAAATCTTTAATATGAGCAAACTTATGTAAAACATACGATGCAGGACAAGGGAGTAGCATTCCTCTGTAATCCTCTGTTAATGTGTGAAGATGCCAACTTCTGAATTCTGGTATGTTATCTAAGCTCTTTTGGGACACTGTCTAAAGAAGAAATTCTACTTTTTATTACAGTTCATGTTCAGCACTTGAATTTTATTGTTGTCTTGTGTGTGTGTGTGTGCTCGCGCGTGCGTGTGTCCTTGTAACTGGAAAAGAATAGGAAGAAAACGTAATTTCTCTTTTTCTAGTTTTGAGCTCTAGTAGCAAAACCTCCTGTCCTCTGCAGCAGGACCCATCAGTTCCTAACAAATCTTCAGACACACTGCATCCGGGGAGGAAAAGAACAAGCATTAGGCTTTGTTTCCATCTGCGTACATGTGATTTCCTGCTGTTCTGCTTAAGTGTTAATGACATCCCCAGTTGTTAAGGGAAAGCAGAAGTTCAGAGCTATTAGCAAGCACAAGCATGGTGCTAATTTACTTGAATATCAGTTCCATAATTTAATGAGGCCTCAGCTTGAAAGTACTAAAATTACAAGGTATTTGATGTTGATTTATATAAACTTACCAACTTTTTACTGTATGACATTTTATCCACTACCATTACCTCCCATTTCCAACAGCAGAAGAGTAAGCATCAGGGATAGACACTGTATTTAGAAAACATTTTCATAGAAGGCGGTTAGTAGACTCTCATCTGAGAAACTCCCAGGAAAGAAACCATGAGAAAATCATGAATAGTTGATAAAAGCTTAAGAAATACAAAAACAAACATGTAGATGAAAACAAGTATTTGACTGCAAGAATTTAATGCTGCTTAGTTGCACGTGAAACAGGTGACAGCTGCAAATACTGGAGCAAAAAATGTGAAATAGTCTACCAGTATTTCTTGGATGTGAGAGAAGTGTATGATAAAATGCAGATACTTGATAAAATAGCTAAAAATAATTTCTCTATGTGTTCCTTAGTTATTTACCGAATCCCAGTGATTGATTACATTTCAAATTTTGAAGAAAATTCAGAGCATTACAAGCCCTAGTTCCTAAAAATAAGAAGGCTGTGCTCTTTTCTTTTTCCCATGTTATTACAAACAGCTCATTGTTAGTAAAAACAAAATACAAGTGGAGCCTGCTAGCAATTTAGTCTGTCTGGTTCTTCAGCTATTATCTGTTGGGAAAGTACATTTCAAGAAAGAACCCACGTTTGAGTTTTGCTCCTTCATTTTTTTCCTTCATCTTCCCATAAAATTTTTGTAGTTACAAAACAACGTGACCTACATTATGTAACCAAGCATCTAGATGCTTGAATTCTGTATAGTATCCAGTGTACAGCTTGTGGTGATCTGTAATATAGTAGGAAAATTACTGCATCTGCAAGATTCTGAATCAAGTTTTAATACAAAAGGGAAGCTTAAGAATCTAGAATAGTAGTGAGGCTGCCTGTGGTAAAGTTTCTGCTAGGTCTTAAAGTCACTGTCATGAGTCAAAGCACAAACACTTTTCATGCAAATTTTTAAAAAGCGATTAACTTCTCTCCAACTTTTTCCTCACAGATCCTATATGTTAGGGCCACCTTTTCCAGTAGGCTACTAAATCTAGTGGATTTTGTTTCCTTGTGTCACTGTTTTAGAAGTAGCTAGACCAGTCTCCACACTTAATACAGCAACAGAGAATTGGAATTCAGCTTCTACATAAAATTAAATTAGCACTACATGGTAGCATACTAATTGTAGAAACATCTACAGCTGTTCCTGCTGTGGAGGCAACAACCTCACACTGACATAAGTCAGAACACCCTCTTGAGTTTGCCAGTGCACACATGAAAATTAACTAACATAGGTGCTAGTATTTATGCGTTTTTGCAGGACGCATAACAACATTAAAAGGCAAAACTAGCTTTAGGTTATTAGCTTTTATCAACTGCAACATACTGTACTGTAAAACTAAAACTCTGGGTTTAAAGTAATTCCCTAATTAGTTGTCTGTTAACTATGGTTCACTATGCATTCAATAGCTGTGTCAGATTGTCAGGTCTTATCCTTTTATCAGAGGAATCAACACAGATGAAATACTGCTTCATTGCACCATGCAGAATTCCTCTTTACAAGATGGATACTGAGAACTCTGAGCCTCATGTCATGCTGGCAAGGACCCCTCTCTTTAAATTCTGGTGTTCTGTTACTTCTAGAGCTAGACATTGGAACGCTGACTTTGAGAAACTTTTAATTTAAATAAACTGATATGCTGTTGTCTGGAAACAGGATTTTTGCTTCAATCAATATGAAACTTAATAATTTCTCATGTAATTTAGGCTACATGGTCTAATAGTCTCTTGGATTACCTGTGCTTGATCTATCAGTCGGAGAAAAGAAAAAATCATGGATCTAAGTTAGTAGTTCTGTAAACACAGAACATGCTAGAGAGCACAGTACAAAGGCTCAATTCTAGTAACTGAGTTAGGATTATTTTACCAACTTGACAAGATTATTTGTATACAAAAGAAACCACCAAGGCATTTTAAGTTTTCAGCACTTAGGAGAAACAATAAGAAGTGAATGCCTAAGAGTCTACATTCAAAGCTTACTTCTAGGCCAACTGTGACAGACGTACTGCTGAGCTACATGAGCTTTTTTGAATATGTTTACCATAACCCAAATGAACTTATTTCCTGCCTCTCATCAATAATTTTAAGAACAATTAAAAATGCAACAAATGTCACTGCTCCAGAACAGAAATTAATGATGAAACCAGAAGAATTACAAGCAGTTTCAGAAGCTTAAAGCAAGTATCAGGTTCCTTCCCACTTTACCCTAATTTTCTCTTCAAGGCATGTGAAAATCCTCCATTCTAGGATCACTATCCTCTATTATTTTGAGAGTTTTAAAACCAGCAATGACCCAGTAACACAATATAACATCTAAGCTCATCAAGTATCAGTCTGTAATTCAGACATACTTACATGTGGCCTACTCTCATCTGTATCTTAGTACCTACCATTTGATTTACTTGTTCACACCCAGCTTATCTATTTTTCCCTCACCTTTCCACATTAATTTTACAAGAAAGTTTGGATAGTTTTCTTTTCTTCCTGGCAGTACAGCCCTTGGAGTAATTTCCCCGCCCTACCCCAAGAAGCAGTGACCCACTGAGTAAGTAACACTTTA